GCATCGAAATATGTCCACAAGTCGTCCCAGCAATGAGGCTGCTGCATGTTCTTCAGCTCATTCCAATACACCTTGCGAAGCGAGTTGCAAATGGTTTGGATCTCGTCTTTCGACCATAGATGGACCCGGCGCTGGGGCAAGATATGGTCCAGCTTTCGAAATGGCCGGCTGCCATTAGCGGTCGAAATGTAGGCCCTTGCCTTGGGCGGCACGGTGGTATAGAAGCCCACGGGAAGGTGGTCCTCCAGATACGTCTGAGCGGCCCCCTGGGAGTGCGCGCCGTGCATCATCTTGTAGGTGACGGGGATCCCATATGGATAATACTTGGAGAACGTTGCACGATCCCCAAGGGGAAAGTTATCGGCATGGACTCGGGGGAAGTTGGCGGCATAGACAACTGGATGCGGAGCCGGCTGCAGATTCATTCTGATGGATTCGGCCATGATGAAGACTTTTCAATCTCAGGGTCAGTAAGCAAGAACCTCGAGGCGGCGTCTCAGATATAGCCCAGACACTATCCAAAGGAATGGGAGGTAAAGAGTGTGAATAGAGCGAGGGGACGAGAGCATCAAAGACTGCTGACACGCAAAAGAGTGCCCAGATGAAGCACGCCAATAATGTAATCCAAAAAAGACGCGGCAGCAGAGTGCGTGACCGTGAGAGAGATGGACAAGTGAATGGGTGGATGAAAGAGAGAAGGGTAAATAAACAGTACAGGTGACGATGAAGCCTCATACCTCAGGTGCGGGTTGTCTTTCTCTCGAGGAAGGTGCAACCAGGTCGACGGGTAGACTTTCTCGCTTACTTCCGAGCTGGATTAGATTATCTGTTACTGAAGAGAGGCAAACCAAGAATTACCAAGAATCCGATAAGCTTTGAAAGCAGTAGCTGGTACACTGTTGGTGTATCCAATGATCGTTGTGACGAGCAGGAGATGATAAAGACGAGGGTGGAGCCACTGTTGAGAGGAAGAAGAGGAGAGAAGAAAAGAGATGGAAGAAAAAAATTTCATTCCTTTTTTCTTTGATGAATTGAGTCAGGTGTTTGCATCTGATCTATTAGGGCTCGAGAGAAGAAGTGAGCGCAAGGTGAATCGGGTTGGCAAGGAGCAACGCGAGTTCGACAGCTGGTGACAGCTGGCGGCAGGGGAACTCCGTCGTCAATATCCCTCAACGCAGAAGACCTACATTCTCAAGTAAACTTTGATCTGATACGATATTCCTGTAGACGACACATGTGAGGAAGTGGTGGCTCGCTACCCTTGACGCCGGGTTAATGAAGACATACCTACTTCACGATCCAATTCCAAGGAGTGCCGGCGTGGAAACAACTGAAAGCAGCATCTCCGCCTCTACCCACATAGTACCGATCTTTCAGCATCGGTATACAAGCAGTATTCAAACTTCTAACAGTCCCCGGTAAAGCACAACATCCGAGAATTGTGAAGAGCAATCCTATTTTATTCTCTCCTCACCACCGTCTATAATGCCCAAATGCCCAT